GTGGCCGAAAGAGCAGAATAATGGAGGACGGGATCGTGGTAGATTACTCCTGGGAATTCGGTATCCATAGATGCGTATGGAAAACGAGGGAGAACTTGATATATCAAGCTGAATTCATACTTCAAATTATATTGCCAAACCTGTCGCACTTTAACCGGAAGCACCATTGTTGTGGATTAATTGAGTAGAAGAAAAAGAAAAATTATATTCGAAAAAAATACAGAAAGAACTGATTGTTGATGATTATTGTACTTTTGATGGTTGGAAGAAGAAATACAATGAGTATATATAGGCTTTAAGTTGGAAGAATCCGAGTTGGTGGAGGAGTTGAGGTAAGGAAAGTCTCTTTGAAATTGGAAATCATTTGAAATTAGTTATTTCCGTTTAAATATTTCCTTTTTACTTCCAAGTAATACTAATATTATTCATTTGAAAATTAATTTTTATTTTATTGTTAAAATAACTGAATTTATTTATTTATTTGGAACCTACTTATTTTATGTACTTTTTCTAAGTAAAAATTTTAAGTTCAGCCAAACAACAAAGAAGATAAAAAGGGGATTATCTTTTCCAACTGATTAATTCACGTGATTTGTTTGTTGGTTTGTCCTATGCGGACACATTGCATAAAAAACACAAAACTTCACGGACCTCTTATCATCTGAACCAACAATGGCGATTTCTGGTGCTCTTCGCTTCTTCATCTTCACCTTGTTCCTTTGCTTTTCAACTTCCATTTTCACCTCAGCNAAAAACAAAACTTCACGGACCTCTTATCATCTGAACCAACAATGGCGATTTCTGGTGCGCTTCACTTCTTCATCTTCACCTTGTTCCTTTGCTTTTCAACTTCCATTTTCACCTCAGCCTCTCCTCACCAAGATTCTTCTCAACTCGCCACCCAAATCTGCAAAAACACCACCAATGTCTCCTTTTGCATGTCCGCGATTTTCTCCGATCCCCTGGCCTCCTCCGCCGACCGCTATGTCCTCTCCTACATAGTGTTCGGCCAAGCCTACAAAAACGCTACCAGTACAAAAAATTTCATTGGCTTATCACTGAAATCCATGAAGTCAGATGAAAATCGGAGGGTATTATCCGGTATGCAGAAATGCCAGGGTTTTTACGAGGACGCGATTCGGGCCTTGTCCGAAGTTATGAACAATTTAGATTCTGAGACTTTCTATGGATTGGATAAGGCGGCGATTGATGTTGAATCTTCAATTCGGGCTTGTGAGGCGAGTTTTTCGGGCCAATCCCCAATGTCTCAGAAGAATCAAAATTTGGTGGAACTTTTGAAAATATGTTTTGCTGTATCTCAACTTTATCAATATAATTAATTAAGATGTTTTGTTTTGAGTAATCAATAATTAATTCTTAATTAAGCTTCTATTAATAATGTTAATTGTGATAGAGCATTATTAATTGTTGTAGTACCACTTTTCGCACGTCATTTTATTTTATATGTTTGGTGAAAGTCCACTCAAGCAACACCTTTGGCGTCGGTTCGCGTAATTCAGAAAATTGGAATCAGCAATCAAACTTCGAATATTTCATAAATAGATTCATTTGAATTTATGTAATTTTTGGAATCGAATTATAAGTAACGATTTTGATTTGGAAGGTTCGATTCTTGTTAAAATGTCTACGTACGGGCATCAATTTTTTAGACTTTCACATTTTGGAGTCGGAGACTGGAGTTGGGCTACTTGCTTGGGCGGACACGGAGTCGGAGAGGAAGGTAGAGCTCGAAAGTCGAAACTGTGTGTTGTGGACTGGTGGTGGTGTTGTGGTGACTAGTGAGATGGGAGTCGCGTGACAGTGTGGGAAAGGGCCGACGATGTCGATTCTGCTGCGGTAGAGAGACGGGGGAACGGGGAATAGACGGATAGTGGAGACGGGAGATTGGAGTGGAGAGTGGAGACG